CGGGCAAGCTGCTCAAATGATCTGTGAGGTTCTATATTTTTTGCTCATCGGTTTCAAGTAGTAATCAGACAATAATTCTTGTGGTTGTGTGGTCATGAGAGGAGGCTGGTAAGAGATGCTTGTACCTTAGTGTTAGTAGCTAATTTTAATATGAGATCTCGGTTTCATTGAGGATTTAGGACTTTGGTTGTGATTGAGAAGGGTGGTTGGAATAGTTGTTCAAGGTGATGAATGCAGTGTATAATAGTATAATTAGAATTTCAAGTTGATTTACTATTATGTTCAAAACCAACCTGGTGTTATTACTCAACGGTGTTATTACTCAACTCCAGTTGGGACAATATTGTCTTATACTCTGTAAGTAGGAAAGAAAAGAACATTTGAGACCAACTTAAAAAGTTTGTTTGTTACCAAATATTTAGAAGTTTCATCTTCAAGGACACCTTTATTTTATTTTTTTGTATGTCCCGATTCTGAGCTTCACTTTGGGTTAGAATATGCCCCACTCCAGTATCTAAGAGCATGTTTGTTTAGAAAATTTTTGGTTTTGTTTAGATTTTTTTGGTTTAGTTTGTTTAATTTTGAAAAAGGTGGTATTGTTAGATGTTAGTGGATATATTAAAATAATATTTAAAATAAAATAATTAAAATTAATTTGATGTAAAAGTATGAGAGAGATGATTTGAAGTGATAGTTAGTTAAAATAATGTGAGTGGATGAATAGTAAATTAAGGTTGATGTGGTGTGTATGATTGATTGATTGATATTATTTAATTATATTGATAATATTGGTGATAGTGGGGTTGAGTTAAAGTTAAGTTAAAAAAAGTGATTGAGTTAAAATATTGGAAATTTTTGAGAAAATCTTATAAACAAACATGCTCTAAATGTTTGCGTTTTCCCCTTACATTCTGAAAAAAAAGTACAAAATTTTTAAATTTACATTTTGGTAGTTTATGCTCTCTTCAATTAAATTTTTTCATCTAATTTTCGGTAAGTCATTTTTGTCCATTGCAAATGAAGCTGGAAGAGTCATTGTTGACAATTCTCGTGGCATAGTGCTAATAATGGACTAGATCAAATGACTCAATTAAATTCTAGTGCTTCTTCTATTAGTGAAGTTTCTAGAAAAAAAAAAATATATCAAACGGTGCAATGCACCTTGGGTCACTACGGAAACAGCCTCCTTGTATAATTACAAGGGTAGGGTCTGCGTACAACTGACCCCCTAGATCCCAACCAGTTGGGAATATACTGGGTATGTTGTTGTAATTTTTGGTAAGTCATTGTACATTTTGGTCGCCTCCTCTAAAGCTTAATTCTGCCAAAAGAGAGAAGTTGATCTACCTCTTGTTTGTTTCTCTTTAGAGACTCAAACACCTTTTTTGAAAGTGCATAACCACAACCGGACCATTCACCCATTGGTAGCTCGCCCATTGGTGGCCCTCGTCTCCAAATGATTCCAGCTCAATAATCTCCACATCATGTGACCCCAAAGCCCCTTGAGAGATTGACCGAATGGGCGAATCTATTTCTACAATCATCCCCCAGACGACCATATCATCCTCCTCAAGGGGGGAACTGAAGATGGGAGTGTAGTTCCAGCTGCTCCATCTTCCGAACATCTACTTTCCCTGGGAGTCGCCATCAATTTTTCTGCTCTAGACGTAAGTGTCGGATTTAGTATCGACGAATGCTCTTGGATCGTCCTAGATGAACAGTCAACCCTTATATCATCCAGGGGATCACTACCAGACACCATTCCCCTAGGCCTCGCCTCGACGAAAATTGCCCTTAGCTGCTTCTCCCGACACCATCACATCCATCACCACCGTTGCTCGTGCCGTGATTCCCAGAAACTTCGCGGCCACGCTCTCCACTACTGCGACAAGATTTTCTAAAAGAAAACACAAAGAAACCACTCCAAATCAGAGAAAGATAGAAAAGAAGAAGAAAATAAGACGCAATAAACTTTTTACCAAAAAAGATGGACCTGCAACTCTCTTATAAAGACGCTGTCAATAACTCTTAGTCTGTGTGTCAACCACATTTTTCTAAATAAATAAGACATTTCAAGAAGCCCTTTCACACGCCAACCAGTCCACCAGCCCACACGTGACAAGTCCTTATTGTAAGAACACCCTTTTTCAATTGCCCAAGTCACCATCATTACCATTCTCATAATTTTAAAAGACGCAACCTCCTTTCCCCAAACAAAAATCCAGAGTTGACCCTTCAAAGTACCTGCTTGCATACATTTGAAGCCGATCTCAGTCATGAGAAATACGCATAGCTTTCCTACAACTAGACGAAATTCCCGTCTTGCCCTGAGAACCTGGGGGCCTGAAGTTGATACACGAATTTGTCCTACCTAAAATAAAGACCTCTAAAATAATTATGACACCATCATCAGTTCAACACACGCATCATTCCTGGAGGCCGTATGACTTGTAGTATGATAATCAGAAGGAAAGACGCTGATAATGAAGACATCATTCCCCAATAAGCCGACCTCGTTCCCAACTACGAGGCATACATGTCGACCTCTTCCAGAAGGAAGGCCGTCCTCAGTCGATGTCATCTCGTCCGAGCACGATCGTAAGTTAATGTGAAAAGGGATAGCGCCCTGAACCAGTTCCACCGTCCAAAGAGACAAGCCACTTGCTCAAGTTGCCGAATAAGCGTCACCATGTATCCAATCAGAAGATACCACGTGTCTTGAAGAAATAATATTTTGACGACCTCCCCTTCTATAAAAGGAGGGGTCCGCAGGCCTTGAAGATCATTGAAAAATACATCCAAAAATACCCTCTAAATAAGAAGCTCTGTTGGAGTCTCTCTCTTTAAGTTTTCCTTTACATTTCTTGTTCTTCCAACTTTTTAAAGGCTCTATATACGAAAATGCCTGAGAGCAGTCCATCCTATCAATAAAAATCGTCGGTGCAGACGCCTTAATTCGTCGATAGACACGAGCTATATATTCTTATTCATTTTCACCGTAACCATGTTAAAATCCACCCTAAACATTAAAATACCATATAATTACAAGGTCATCACCTCGATGGTCCCATTGGCGCAAACACATGTCAACAAAAACTATCCACAAAAATTGTAACATTATCAATAGTTATTTGAAGGAATAATATAAAAAACTATCGAAACTCTAAAACAAAACAAAAAAAAAATGAAGAAGATAAAATTGTAAAACATCTCCATTAGAACTGATAATAATTTTACCCATTAAATTTTCAATTATATAAAAAATACCTAAGTAAATCGCGAATATCCTAACCGAACACAATGCTTTGGTGGGCTTCTCTCTCTCTCTTATTTTTTTTATTTTTTTTCCATTATGTGGTATTTTTGTGTAACTTTTACATTTACATGCATGTTGTATTTTATTTTTATTAGTTACTGATATTTTTATGTATTTTTTATCATGACATTCAAATGTTATCATTATTTAAAAAATATGTTTTGATTTTCAATACATTTTGACACAATTCATAAATAATTAAATATTAAAATCACATAATAATATTAATCGTGTATCACGTGCATCACACACACTTTGCTAGTAATTTTAAAAATTAACAGAAAATAATAAAGATATTGTTATACAAAGAGGACCGATCAAAATATATAATATTGTGTATAATGAAAATTTTCACAACTAACGATAATTCATTTTAATTTTTTTTATATTGCTAAATTTAAATTTATTTAATGCTTAGTATAATCGATTTGAGATCTTCCAACCGTGCACATAAAATATTACTCCCTCCTATTCATAATAAGTGTCGTTTTAAAAAATTGCGCAGTAATTAAGAATATTTTTTTTGCCAATAATAACCTTCTTTAATGAAGATAGAGAATGATGTTTTGAGAAAAAATGAAGAGTGAATATGAAAAGACGTAATGTATTTATTAGCTAAATGAGGGTAATAATGGAAAAATATGTACAAAAGATCTAAAACGACATTTATTTTGTTAATAGTTAATAAAGCCAAAATGACATTTAAAAAGAATAGGAGGTAGTAATAGTTTTATTAACATTCCCCACTATTGTAAAGTTTCAAACTTATTCCCAGTTTGGATCTCCATATATCCACATTATACACCACAAGAAATATTTTATCAATAGACTTTAAAACCAGGAAAATCTAAAATATTTGGTGCCAAGTCCATAACTCCCAAAGACAAACATAGAAAATGACACCCCAGCAAAAGAAAATAAACCAGGCCAAAAAGTTGCTCAAGCAATTGCACATGCCATCTAGTTAATTTGTGGAATTTATAATAATGCTTCATGTAACTTGGCCAATTCTGTACAAATTCCCACAGAAGAATAAACACATAATAGATACAAAAGCAAAAAAAATGTTAGTAGCCAATGCGTTGACATCTGACCCAGAAAGCAGTTCCTCCACTTCTGCCACGGGCAACCGCAATTTCTTCATCGATATAAAACCAAATGAAAAATGGGTCATTACTCCCTGGCTCCCTCTCATCTTTTCCTTTAAATGTGATCTCAAATGGCCCAAGAAGACCGATTCTTATCCGGACACGTTCGAATACGAAGGCGAGTATTCTCTTATTCCACGAAAGCCTGCCTTCAAACGTCAAACACCCAAGAGGCCCAAGATAAACCCCGTTCTCAATCCTTTTCCCCTGTTATATCAAATATTAAACTGAAAATATTAAGAGGAGTTTTTAGTAACTGAAAATAGCTTAAAGAGAAAAGCAGTGAAACCTAGAACTTTAAACTTTTCACAGTCATTATGTGTTGTTGGGAAATTTGAAATGCCATTATGCATCAAAATCATTCAATCTAGACAAAAGCCTATTGATTGCATAACCAAAACTTGTTGCACCTTTCATCAAGAATTTGCCTATGCTTAGGACCAATTATATCTCGGATATATGGAAAACCTGCTTTTTATTGTGAAGTGATTATAAGAAAAGAGCGTCAAATATAAGCATTGCTAAAGTGCAGGAAGCTTACAGCTGCATCAAACCTCTGAACGGCTGTAATTGGGAAGTATTTACCACGCACTAGCTTTTTCTGCCAATTTGCATAAGTATCATCAGGAACAGAAAAGAAATATTTTTCACTGTAAGGTAAAGCATAAAACCAAATAAAATCACAAGTACAGTACAAGACTGTACAAAAAAGTAACCTCTGCTGTAAAAACAAGCATCCAAGTCCTTCCAGGTGACTTGATTCCTCCAAGAGTTTCAAAAAACCCTGATGGATCAAGCTTTGCCTTCTCAATCACGGAAAAAGCATGCAGAATCTCATCAGCTGGAACTTTTCTAGTCTTGGCAGCATACTTAAGCACTTTCACACACTCTTCAACTTCCTGAACATGATGAATGTCATTGCACTAAATCAGTATTGACTCAATTATCTCACCTTCGAATTTGATGTGACTATTCATGGTTTAAATTATTCTTGAACTACATTCTTATTCGCTAACATAACAATACCCTGAACCAATAACAGAGTTTCTGGATACGAACCGTAATGGATATGATCTAATGATGATTAATAATAAAACCAACTTGGGGCAAAGAATAATCCAACAAGCTTTACTGTTTCTCAATTAACTGCAAAATGGAGCCTCAGAAGCCATTCTACTTGAAAGATACTTTTGGAAACAGCATTGGTTAATTTGGCGAATTCCATGAATTATAAAACAATTTTAAAGCAGCCGTAGATGATTCTGTATGGATGAATTCTTTAAGTCAGCTAATGCATTGGCTCACTTTTTTACATAAGAAATTTCTAACAAGCTGTATAATACCAACTTTTGTGAACCTTAGAACATCCTTTGGTACTGCAAGTTCCCAACAGAATGGCAAATCGCCCCAATCTATGCAAATGTTTGAACCGAAAACAATAAACTGATCTTGAATGCTTAACAACAGACTAAAATGAGCATTTCAAACATGATTCATATCATCTGTTTAGAAAGAAGGTCCCATTTAACATCACACATAAGTCAATATTACTAAAAAAATAAAAGTAAAAGCAGCATTCTTGATCTTGTAAGGTGCTTTTATAAAAGATGCTCTTTGTTGTCTATTGCATAAACACATATTTTATTAATATGGAGTTCTATAAAATGAAATTAAGTTCAATACACACAAATTTCACATAGCTAGTGAAGTCTCTCATTCTTTTATTCATGAGAATCTCCAAAATTTTGGCGGCCAGGCACAGTTCAACCAATAACGAAAAGCAAGACAAACAATCCGAAAGATAATCAGCAATCTTTCAAATACAGTTTCTGCATTACCATGCTAAATAGGAACAAGTTCAATTTTTTGTTCTACGAACCACAATAATTTTTTTTTAAAAGAACAGTGAAATGATATTAATAACAAACGACACATAATGCAGGCACGAAAAACTGGATTATGGGAGAAAAAACAGAAGAAACCCACAAAGAAGAATGAGGAAATTAAAGTCCGAATACCTGATTGGGTTGTTTTTGTTGTGTTGGGTTGTCGTCAAGGGTAGCTCTTGTCTGCGCAAAGAAGAAAGAGGCATGCGTTGTTGTTTTAGAGAGGATAATTGGGTGAGGTTTAAGGGGTTTAGGGTTTAAGGGTTTGTGAAGAGGAGACAGTGAAGGTAAGTGTGACGAATAAAAAGGAACGAAGCAGTGGGAGAGAGACGCCATTTCCCTTGTTCACTCACTCATCAGCCCATCGTTGCTTTCTTGGATTTCATTTCACCACATATTTTGGGATAATTGCCAAATTGTTCTGCAAATACTAATATAGAGCATGGTTGCCAAAATTAAAATTTAAAAATTAAATAAATCAAGTACTTTTTAATTATATTAAACATTACATAAAGTTTAAATTCAAGAATATAAATAAAATTTAAAATAAATTATTGCTTATTATGAAAAATTTGTTGTACACAACATATATATGTCAATCGGTTCTCTCTATATAAAAATATATCCTTTTGATTGGTTATTTTTAAAGTTATTAGTACCGGTTACTATTGAAACCCTCAGTTAACAGTAAATTACATATTAAACTAATATATTATGGCGACAAACAACCTAATAAAATAATTTTCAACAAAATGTAAAGTTACATTTAAAAGATCACCTTTATACACATCACTACTATTATATGTAATATCTTTATCTGAATTTTTTCTTTCTAGTTAATATTTTTTAAAAATTTATTATATTTTTTCTAAAAATTTTCAAAAATGCATGTGATATTTATATTTTTCTATTTATTTTTGAAAGCATTTAATGAAAAAATAAAAGTTGTTGTTCAATAAAAATATTAACATGGTATATTTGGATCATGTTGTATTATTGGTGTGGGAAACTCATTTAACATATGTTGATATAAAATATACAAATAATTTATTGAAAAAATATTTTCATATATATATATATATAAAGTTATTAGCTTTATATGCTAACTATGAGTGCTAAATAAAAAATTATACAAAAGTAATTAATTTATTATTTTATATGTAAAAACTTAATAAAAATATCCAATAAGTATTCGGTTATATATATGGTCAAAATACTTACTTATTTAATAATATAAAAGACGAAAAGGTATATTGTATGTTTTTAACATATATTTGTTAAAAAAGTACATAAAATTAAGTATAGAACTTTTTAGGTCGTATGTCTTATTATATATTAATTAATTGTATATCGTTATATTGTAGTATATATAATAACAAATTTTTTATTAATATTATATCAAATATATAAATTTTTTATTTCGTACATTTTTTGAATAAAAGATTATTTTATGATAATAACACAAATTAATAGATAGATGAGTAATGGTATATTGATATAATTTTTTGGTGAAAATTAATTAATGTTCAACATATATAGGCGTGTCATGATTCTCGAGAAATTCTTAATTAATTTGTAGATAATAATATGATCAAAATTAAATCATATTGCTCAAGTGGTATCACATTCGATGTAAAAGCAAATGGATTGTGTTTTATTATTATACAATTTCATAAAATTGTTCTAACCTTATTTTAAACAAAAAATTGAGTATATTAGAAGTTTAGGTTGCGGTTAGTTAAAATTATGTGAGTAGATAAATAGTGAATTAAAGTTGATGTGATATGTAATAATGATTGTTTAATATTGTTTAACTATATTAATAATATTGAGGATAATGAAGTTATGTTAGAGGATGCTTGGATATAAAAATTTTTGGATTTGTTTGCATTTTTTGGTTTGGTTTGGTTAATTTTGAAAAACGTGGTATGGTTAATTGTTAGTGGGTATATTAAAATAATATTTAAAATAAAATAATTAAAATTAATTGGATGTAAAAGTAGGAGAGAGACGATTTTGAAGTGATGGTTAGTTAAAATTATGTGAGTGGATAAATAGTGAATTAATATTGATGTGATGTGTAAGCAGGGCGGAGCCATCCATGGGCCAGGGTGGGCTCCAGCCCCAGGTAAATTAAAAAAAAATAAAAAAAAAATTTACTTTACATTTTAGAGTATTCTTGTATATAGCCCCATGTATATATATGTTAACCCCATTTTTGGAATTTGCCCAATAACATAAGCCCAACAAATTTTTAAGTTAGTCCAACAATAAAAACCCAAAATATTAAAATCCATTACGTTCCTTCTATCCCAAGTCCCAATTCATCCATTAATTAGTCTTCTTCATTATTAATTAAAAGTTAAAAAGGCCAAAAAAAAAAAAAAATCTCACAATCAAGAAAACAAAGCACAACTTTAGCATTTCTTATTTTATTTGTAGCTCAATGTAAATATTAGTCTAGCTCAATTTAGCTCATATGTTTTTAGGAAGAAACTCAATAATTTATTATTTTTTCATTCTCAAAAGTAGAAGATGTTGGAACCTTTTTTTATTAAAAAAAAAAGACACAAATTATTGCTTATTCTAATTTTATTTTACAAATTTGTAAGAAGATTGTATTAATGTTTGTTTTAATAGTGCAATGAAGATATTTCTTATGTTTTGTAATGATCAAGAGTTAATGTGAATTGATTTGTGAGAAAAAAATTAGAAATATACTTAGTTTGAATTTATGCACACAACTTGTGATGAAAGCACAACTAAATATTTGAGATAATATAATTTAAATTTGTATAGGCTAAGAATTGAATATTTGAACATGATATAAGTCTCTATATCTTTTTTTTTTTTTATAGTTTTTTCTTATTTTTGTTTTCTTTCTTATTTTGGTTAAATCGTATTGAATCATTTTATTTAAAATAATATTGGTTATTTATGTAATTTATATTACATTACATATGGAATATATCAATTATTTTATAATTTAATTTTATATATTTTGTTTCTTCTAGAATTCCAATAGAATATTTATTTTGTGATTGAACTTATGGATTTTAATAATTTAGTTTTGACATTTATTGGATTTTTAAAATATACTTTCATTCATTTAACTTTGTAATTTATGTAAGTTGTATTGAATATTAAAAAGAATTATTTTCATACATTGATTTCTTCATGCTTGGCATCTAGCTAAGATGTTATTCGAGTCGAGCCAAGTCGGATATCTCATGTTCGAACTTGTGATTATTTAATAAACAAACTTGATTAGATTTTCGAGCTTAGCCTTTTGAAGTATGAAATAGTTGAGTTCGAGCTTTCACGAGCAGAAATGAGTTGTGTTCGTGAATAGTTTGATTCGAATAATAACTCAATGTTAAGCAGCCCCGGGTAAAAAAAATTCCTGGCTACGCCCCTGTGTGTAAGAATGATTGATTGATATTATTTATATTGATAATATTTATGATAGTGGGGTTGAGTTAAAGTTGAATTAAAAAATGGTTGAGTGAAAAATGATTGGATCTTTTTGGATAAATTTGTATCCAAGCATCCTCTTAATTTTCAAGAAATTTTGAAAAATTAGAAATGTACACACCCTCATCCCATTAGAGATACTATAATGGCCCCACCCAACCAAGTCTCCAAAACCCTAAAATTCCCCCAATCCCTAATATATATATTCCACTCCTTCCATTTTAGGGTTCTTTACTTCGAGCATCCTCCCGTTCTTTCCCCTCTACACTCTACAATCCCCCCATCCGCCCGCCCCGACTCCCAAATCCGCCAATGGCGCAAGAGCAGCTCGTCCTCCGCGGCACCATGCGTGCCCACACCGACTGGGTCACCGCCATCGCCACTCCCATCGACAACTCCGACATGATCGTCACCTCCTCCCGCGACAAGTCCATTATTCTGTGGTCCCTGACTAAGGAAGACCGCAACTTCGGCGTCGCACGCCGCCGCATGAATGGCCACTCTCACTTCGTCCAAGACGTCGTCCTCTCATCCGATGGCCAGTTCGCTCTCTCCGGCTCTTGGGACGGCGAGCTCCGCCTCTGGGACCTCCAGACCGGCGTAACCGCCCGCCGCTTCGTTGGCCACACTAAGGACGTCCTCTCTGTCGCCTTCTCCGTCGACAACCGCCAGATCGTGTCCGCCTCCCGCGACAAGACTATCAAGCTCTGGAACACCCTCGGCGAGTGCAAGTACACCATCCAGGACCAGGACGCCCACTCCGACTGGGTCTCTTGCGTCCGTTTCTCGCCCAACACCCTTCAGCCCACCATCGTGTCCGGCTCCTGGGACAGGACCGTCAAGATCTGGAACCTGACCAATTGTAAGCTCAGATCGACTCTGGCCGGACACGCTGGGTATGTGAACACTGTTGCTGTGTCCCCTGACGGGTCTCTGTGCGCCAGCGGCGGGAAAGATGGGGTGATTCTGCTTTGGGATCTGGCTGAGGGAAAGAAGCTCTACTCACTGGATGCCGGATCTATTATCCACGCGCTCTGCTTCAGCCCGAACAGGTACTGGCTATGTGCTGCCACTGAGTCCAGCATTAAGATTTGGGATTTGGAGAGCAAGAGTGTTGTTGTGGATCTCAAGGTGGACCTCAAGCAAGAGAGTGGTGATATTTCTGCTGAAGGGACCCAAACCGCTTCTGGGAAGACCAAGGTATTGCTACTCTCTCTATACATATCTGTATCCATACATGTGCAAGCATGTTGGTATATTTTTGTTGCCTTGAGGTTTCTATTGGTCTTGTTTAGGGGTGAAGTCCTTATGAAACATTGGCAGATAAACTTCAAGTATTGTCTCCCAACTAGCCCTAGTCTTGTAGATCCTACTCTTTTGAGTTATTGTTGCTATAGCCTGTCAGAAGCTGTGTGTTCTCTGTTGTGAAATTCATATTCTTTCTGGTGGAAGTCATCAACTTTGCAGAAGCAATTTTGTTTGAGTTATGTTGGTCATTGCCCTTTTTATGGTCACATGATGTGTTATGAAATTATATTATGTTTTTGTTTTCTTGACATCTTAAAGACTTCTTAAAGTTGTAAGCAATCATGCCAAAGCATGATTTGCTTCTATTACATGGCCATTATATCAGTAAAACTTTTCCTCCTATTTATGTTTTACTGTTTATGGTGATTTATGTATTATAATAATGTGCACGTTATTTGAAATAGTTGCCATAAACACTAATACCTGGACCGAACAAATTGTGGCTCTAGAAATGCTGGATGGTTGATATAGTTGGGCACTTGATTTAAGGTCCAACATTGTTTTAGGGGAACACCATTGTTATGTTGCCAGGCTTAATTGTATTGTTATGTTGCTTATGTTGTACATTTCCTTTTGCTGTAGGTCATATACTGCACCTGCCTCAACTGGAGTGCCGATGGAAGTACCCTTTTCAGTGGTTATACTGATGGTGTTGTCCGAGTTTGGGGTATCGGACGTTATTAGAGAGCAGAGCGGGTTTGCTTTAGTTACTATGCTTTTAATTTACTAGTTTTTCTTGGAAGTCTAGAAAAAGGGAAGAATATTTGGACTCTATTTCATGGTTTTAAGCTGTTGGTGATTTTAAATTTTGAGTTTTTTTTTTTTATTTGGGCACTTGTTGTGTTTTTGTTTGACGAGGGTATTATGAGTTTTGCATTTTTGTTGTGTTCTCTGTTTCTCCTTACTTGGCTCTGGGGTTTTGGTGGATCATGTGCATTTGTGTTTTATTAATATAACCATTGTGATACAGTGAATAACTTTTGTTATGCTTTCACATGAGTTGGTAGTTGCTATTGTTATATTGATACAAGGATGTAAGATTGTTGCTATGGTTTTATGCAGGCATGTAAGATTTAACAGTAGGTATTCATTTAATCTTGGGAGTGAGTTTAGCTCACTGGTTGAGAAAAGAAGAGGGAAAAAATAAAAAAACATAGGAATGAGTTCCAAATTGATTATTTTTTGTCTGGTTAATTTGTTAAATGAGAAGAAGGGTTGGAATTGAGGTGAATTGAGCAATGGGCCTTCTTGGGCAAAGCTTGATCTGTCTTATTTTGAGTTGATCAACGAGTTGAGAGTTGATATTTTTTTGGGCTTGTTTTACCGTGATAAAAAATTCAAATTTTCTAGATTGGCTCGAAGTTTATGAGCTGGAGCTTTGATTGAATTTTCAACAAAAAAATCTATTCAAAATAGGATTTTTTTTTTTTGCTCAACCTAGAGCATCTCCAATTGATCCTTAAATTCAAATGCTAACTCAAAATGCAGTAGAGAAAAGCTCCAACTGAAATGCGATTTGGATGCTTTCATATACCATCCATATATATGCATATTGATTCTCTCTCCTCCAAAGGTATATATGTGCTTGCCCCTGTTGGCGCTGGCGCTGGCGCTGGTGCACTCTTTCGGCCTTGGGTTGGGCTTGACGGCGGCGGACTCCCAAAAGCGAGATCTATTCTGCTGGGTCAATAGTATTCGTGTTTTGGGTAATAGTGTTGCGTGTATGGTGCGTTATTAGAATATTTACGGTCATCATGTGCGTTAGTTTGATGATATCTCCGAAGTGATTGAAGGATTATTATGTTAAACCCTACAGGTGGATTAAGTTTCGACATATTAATAATGATTTGAGTGGTACTAGCTTCGGTACAAGAAGTTGATTAATTCTTGATTGTCTCTTAACGTGGAGAGGTAATTCGGGTAATTATTATTGGAATATGGAATATAATTCGGGAATGATGAAGGAGTGTAAAAATGTTTTGTTAGTAGATCGAAACATTATTTAAGTTATTGAGCAGAGTGGGTTTGGCCTACAGTTAGACCTAATACATAAGAAACCGAAATCATCACCTCTTTAGGGTCCCTACTATAGCTCTATATATATATGCCATGTATCTCTTGGGATTGGACACACATAACCACACTGATGTAGCAAAGGATTAAGTGGCTCGTAGGGACATATAACAAGGTCGAGCTTGGATTAAGCTCAGGGAATGCTTAAAATCTGGGCACTAGGGTGCAATTACGAGTAGTTTATCACTGAATTATTTATAGTGAGCTTGGCAATACTAACCGGACCAATATCCTGAGAAGCTCAGCTGATAGATGGTTGGGCGGGCATGAATTGCATGCCCGTTAGGGGGCAATTCGGCTGGGTGTTGTAGTAGGAGCTCGGCGCAGATAAATATTGAAGGGTTGGTAGCAAGATTGGAGGAGGAATGTTGTTCTAAAAGACGTCATGGGTGACGACCTAGGCGTATATGTGCCTGTTAGAACATATTTGGAGAAGAAAAATGAGTTCCTTAGTTAGATGAAGTCTGCGGGATGTAGGACTCTCCAGATTCGATGAAGATCAGGTCTAATGAGAAGTAAAGTGGGGAAAGACTTCTGGGCGGGTCAAGAGTCTTTCCGCCATCACGCAACCTTCACTATAAAAGAGGGGCCAGGTTCTTTACTTTACACAATATACATACACGCGCAAAGACACCTCGTTGATATATTACTGTTGGACGTGAACTGACTTAGGCGTCTAATTCAAGCAGGATGAGGTACTGAACATACAGCGTTGCGTTCACACTAGGGACGGTACCGTAGTACTGAACATATAGCCTAATTCAAGCAGGACGAGGTACTGAACATACAGCGTTGCGTTCACACTAGGGACGGTACCGTAGTACTGAACATATAGCGTTGCGTTCACACTAGGGACGGTACCGTAGTACTGAGGTACTGAACATACAGCGTTGCGTTCACACTAGGGACGGTACCGTAGTACTGAACATATAGCGTTGCGTAATTGATTAATTACGGTACCGTCCCTAGTGTGAACGCAACGCTGTAATATGTTCAGTACCTTGTCCTGCGCACTACGGTACCGTAGTACTGAACATATAGCGTTGCGTAATTGATTAATTACGGTACTAGGGACGCAGGACGAGGTACTGAACATACAGTGAACGCGCAGTACTGAGGTACTGAACATACAGCGTTGCGTTCACACTAGGGACGGTACCGTAGTACTGAGGTATAGCGTTGCGTAATTGATTAATTACGGTACCGTCCCTAGTGTGAACGCAACGCTGTATGTTCAGTACCTCGTCCTGCTTGAATTACAGTTGCGTTCACACTAGGGACGGTACCGTAGTACTGAACATATAGCGTTGCGTAATTGATTAATTACGGTACCGTCCCTAGTGTGAACGCGACGCTGTATGTTCTAACCTCTTTTCCATCGGGACCCCTCCCGGCGTTTTGCAGGTCATTTGAGGCGTAAGGTGGTTCAAAGCGGTTCACATCAGCATATTGCGGTCCAAATCGGATCAGATGTCAATTTGCGCAACACACACGCATAAGTGCGAGTTCGACCGACCCTAGTTCCCAAAAGATCAACCCGCGATCTTCTCGCGAGCTCTACCGGGCGACCAGACAACCCGCACGACCGCGCGGCCCGTCCATCCACGTGAGGTTCCCGACGACCCCGAGACAACAGAACAAGGCAATTTCCGGCGACTGAAAAATCAACCGATCTCCATCACCAGAAATCTATAATGTCTCAAAGTCTGCAATTTGAAGTCGTAAGTGTCCAACTTTAAACCTCTAGTATCCGTTGCGCATAGATTTATTGTTGTTGTTTAATTCATAACTTGTACTTAACGAGATCCTCACCGATCCCATCAGACAAATACTTCACAAATTTTGGTTTGAACTGGCATTGTATTATCTATTTTAATTATCTCTATATTTCTTTATGCTATGATTTATGAAATTGGTCTTTTTGCTTATATTTCATTTAAGTTGTTCTTGTTGGTCATGTGAATGTCATAATTAAAAAAGAGTACTTTTACCATCCATTATTAGAAGAAGACATAAATGATATGACAATCCATGAGATGTATCGTCTATTTGAACAACATGGTATGCAGACCAAAATAAATATGTCAGAAGATAAGATATGGGCTATAATATGTTTATCAATTTGTTGGCACAAATAAATGTGTCAGACCGTAAGGCATGTGCACATTTATCAATTAGATAACTCAATTTATTGTGGCAGAATCACGTGGTATGAGATATGACATTAATGTTTTCAGAAGATAAGGTGTAGCCTAAGATAAGGCATGTGCTATGACATATTTATCAATTTGACAACTATATGCAATAATGTTGTCAATAATCATATATGTGGAGGTCTATATATTCAAAATAATCCAACATTATTTTCTTAAATAAAAAATCACAACAACAAAAATTTGAAATTCAATTAGATCCCCAAAAAAATGTCTCAACATAATCTAGATTAAACTCTAATTCATCATCAACAGAGACAGTGAAGATGGTGAGGACACGAACGATTAAGAAATTGCAATGATATCATCCATCGATCAATGAAGTACGACTTACTTCAAGCATATCAACACCAAATTGAAATTCGTAAAAGAAGAAGGTTCATCCAAAGAAATCATGAATTCGGGTATGACATACTTGTACGTGATTATTTATCTGAGCATCCAGTCTACTCGGGATAACATATTTCATATGCGTTTTCGGATGCGAAGAGAATTATTTCTACGAATTATGAATGCACTTCAAAAACGATCATCATATTTCAACAAAACAATGATGGAACGGGAAGTAAGAGTTTGTCACCACTTCAAAAATGCACGACAACCATTCGTCAGATGGCTTATGAGTCCCAGTTGACCACTTTGATGAATATTTACGTATGTGTGAGTCAACTACTATTGAATGTCTTTTAAATTTTGTGAAAAGTGTGGTTCAAATTTTCGGTGATGTATATTTGAGAAGATCGAATGCTAGTGATGTTCAACTACTTCTCCAGATGCATGAAGAAAATCACGATTTCTTGGGTATACTTGGAAGCCTTGATTGTATACACTGACAATGGAAAAATTGACCAGTTGGTTGGAAAGACCAATTCATAAGAGGACACGTGTCTCCTACAATTGTCCTTGAAGCGGTTGCTTCACACAATTTACGGATATGGCATGCGTTTTTTGGTGTTGCGGGATCACATAATGATATTAATGTAATATATGAATCTTCTTTATTTAACAATGTATTGCAAGAAAATGCACCAAACGACACATTATTAAGGGCACAGGATGTACAAAAGGGTATTATCTGATAGATAGAATATATCTGAAATGGGCTACCTTCGTAAAGTCTTTTTCTTGTCCATTGGATCGTAAAGAAAGGTATTTAAAGAAAAACATGAAGCTGCTCGAAAAGATGTGGAAAGAGCATTTGGGGTGCTCCAGTCTCGATGGACAATTGTGAGAGCTCCTACTCGGTCTTAGTATAGAAGAAAACTCAAATTTATGATGTTGACATGTATTATTTTACATAATATGATTGCTGAAGATGAATGTAATGAAGTAGCACATTGGTAGAATGACGAGGATGAAGACCCCGCACAATCCTTCCAAGGCTAAAAACGAGAATTTGAAGATTATATTCATACAAATTCAGAGATACGAGAAGATACATTGCATCACCAACTTCGTGGAGACTTAATTGAGCATATGTGGACTCATTTTGCTACCAACTAAAAATTAATTCTTTTTGTTCTACTATTTTTAATTTGTAATCTTAATTTAATTTTTTTATTAGATAATGTTATTTGTATTTTCATGCATTTAAAATTAATTATTCTAATTTTTAAAAAATTATAAATTTATTTTTATTAAGAATATAATATAAAAATAATATTGAATGAGTAGATAAATGAGTCTCATATATTTGCATCTAAATAATTTAACAAATGTAGGAGAGTATATAAATGGAGAGATGGTTAGTGGAAAGATGATGTTGACATGAGGTTGATGAGCGAGAATGTACATTGTGATTAAATGAACGTGAATGAATGCAAATGCCCTTGTATATGTATATAGAGAGAGAGATAGATTTAGATTTTGTAAAACTGAGTATAAACCATAGTTTTTCCATCTGGACTAGCTCAACGGGTCGACCTGAGACTCGATTGACCTGGAGCCAGGATCAGTTCATGTGACAATAGACCCGAACAAACACAGTCAACACAGCCGATCGTCTCGGACATCAACCCGGTTTGATGTGGTCACTATATTATTGTTTTTTAAAAATATTTTTTATTTTAAAAATAAAAATTATGTACATATATTTATATGGTGAATATTTAATATGGGAAACAATATTATAATACTGTGTTGTACAAAATTTTTATTTAGAAAATCTAAAATTAATTATACAACCTAGCAATTAACCGAGTGACCAGATGGTTGAACCGCTAATGACCGGAGGCCTGACCGGGAGTTTCGATAAATGCATATGCAGCATATATCCTACGAAAAACCCCTCCCAAGATTGGCTCTGTACCTCAGTCTCACCGGAGAAACCCTCCTTCCCGCTCTCGCTTTGCTGCGACCAGCAATACAAAAGGATTAAGCAAAGAGTTTGAATGCGGTGAGATTGATTTTCAAGCAAGAGTCATTCCTTACTTAATCTTTGAGGTGTCTGGATTTTTCAAGCAAGATTGATTTTTTAGAGACAAAGATGGGGTGTGTCTTTCTCTTTTGTCTGTGCCCTACATTTTTCTCTTAATTAAATTTGTGCATTTAAGGTGTAATTGGTTTTTCATCTTGGTGTGATAATAGGGAATTTTGGAGAAGGCATAAGAGAAAGGTCTATGTTACACTTGGAGTTGTTGGCAGTGGATATCTACTATACAAGCTCTACGATGCTCGTCGCCGTAGGATCAGTGATCTTGAGAAACAGCTCGCTCGTGAGAGGGAAAGTGAGGAGCTCATTAAGGCTCAGTTAAGACTTGCAAACCCTCATGATTTTCTTCTGGCATATTGCTATTTCTATAACTAAAGGTTCCTTTATATTTCTGTGTCTGGTGCTAGAATTCAAGCGCATTTTGAGGGGGTACAGAGAATAGCTGATTCAACAACTCTTCCTCATGTCATGCATTTGTTAGATGGTCGGTTAACAGAGAACTTGGATCTTACGCAATTGACTGAGAGATTAATCCAAGGGAAGGGCCAACCAAACACTATAACAATGGCTGAGAAACTTGAATTATGGGATAAACTCAAGATTTTGAGTATGGCTCAAAGACTTCCCTTTATGTACAGTGCACTGACCTATTTTTACTTTTCTCGATTACGCTGTTTTTGTCCAACTCCATTGACTTTGTTGTTTCCAGGTTTTACAAAAATGGTATCTTCACTGTGGGCAATGACTATGCTGAACCTCTATATAAGGGTTCAAGTCAATATATTAGGGAGACATCTATATATCGACACAGCACGAGGCCTCGAAAGTTCTGATTTACTTGTAAGCAAGATGCTATCTATAATAAAATCAACCAACGTTGATAATTATCTTTCTAATGCGTTTTATATGTTGATATTCTAACAGTGACCGTACATGTGTCGATTGCTTATATTGTCAGTGAAAGCATGGTGCGTCATCTATCATAGTCTAGCTGATATGTAGTTCCCTATTGTTAGTAAGATGTAATTTAGGCCATTTGGAACAATGTTTGCATGTGTAAATATGTTCACTATGGAAGTGTATTCTATGAACTTTATTTGGGATAAATGCATCATAACTGCTCTTGTATAGTATTTGAAAACTTTAGAAGTACTCCTGAAAGTCTATGTTGTAGTTGTATGAAGAAATTATTTGTTTATTTATTTATTTTTGATATATTAAAGACAAATGTTGTCACAGCATCCAGAATAATTGAGTTTAGGGTTCACCGTTGAGGAGATTTGATTTCATTACGACTGTACTTTGGGAATACATGAGCGTTAAAATAAAATCACAGAGGACTCCCCACTGTAAAAATTACTCCATATAGGTCTCATAACTGGAGTGCCTTCTTTTTGTAAGGTTATATGCGCTTAATCTGTTTATTGAGATTGTCTAAGGGGAGATATTTTACTTGGCTCAAGATCCGCTTACGCCTGAACTTATAATTATTATAGTTATAGGTATATAATTAGTATTTTTATTGTTTGTAATAGGCACAGTTAAGTTAGTAATAATGACAATTATTTTATGCTAAGAGCTATCTTAAGTTAGTACCAGAACTGCCCTTATGTGCTAATAGCGTTAGCATCAAGTCATGGAGAATATAGGTATATTTATTTATTTAATCTTCCTTACAGAACACTTCATTGATGAATATTGTGAGAAGAAAACAAAAATTGAATTTAGAGTATGAGAAAGGTGTATCATTACATAACGACAACAACAACAACAACATAGCCTTTTAGTCCCAAGCAAGTTGGGGTAGGCGTGTATCATACTATCATTACATAAATGGTAGAATAAATTTAATTGGGATAGGTGGGATTTGGTAATCAAATCTCATATTGTTCATCTATCCAGAAAGGAAACTATATATTTACATTCTATTTCTAACACTTTTTTCAAGAGAAACATGTCATGCCAAGCTTGTTACAAATGTAAGTGACCCAAGTCCAACTCAAAGGTTTGGTGTGAACGTCCCTTCGTTGTTCTATGGTCTTCACATAAGCTGTAGAAATCAAATTTTACTGATACAACGTGATAAGAAAGTTGAAATTCTGTATGTATTAGTGTAGAAGAAATGTAAAAGAAAGGTACGTTATAAACACGATAGAATCTAGTCTTGGTAAGTGGGGATTTGAATATCAACTCTCCTCTAGTTCAGCTATCTAGAAAGGAAGCTAAATTTTTACATTTTATTTTTAACAAAAGGAAACAATAGGATTCGGAACGAGGTTTTCCAGAATGTAACAAACTAGGAGCCATTCTGTAAAGTAGCTATTGAGAATGAAACCATGTGTATGCAAAAGTATTTGGAAGTGAAACCTTTCCAAATCCATGTTAGTCTAGAGTTGTCCATCAAGATTTTTAGCGATTGATTTCTTTCTACTCCCGGTGATTGTATGTTGAGTCTAAGGCAAGGGTGGTGTGTGTTGGAGGCTTGGTACTTAAGAGATGGATTTAGATATTGGCACCACTCTTCAAGTTACTATGGCAAATGGTGGGATATGATGATTTACTCACTGGTGGTGTGAGTTTGAGGTTGCAAGGTAGCTGCCTCACAGCATGTGTCGCCCTATGCTGTGGCGATGCGATTTTGGATTGCATCTGCCTCATCTAGACATGGCAGCACCATTAATAACTATGCCAGTCTTGGATTCATCCTGGAAAAGTCTCATGCTAACCAGGAACCTTTGGCCAAAAGAATTGATCCATGGGATATGATGTCTCAGAGTTGGTTTGTCTGCCTGGATGTGCATGGTGTGGGTGACTAATCCTGTCATACTGTACTTGTTCTGTAAATTTGTTGCTAAAGTTGAGCTTTGATACCATGTGGGAATAGCTTTGAAGCAAAATCTTCTATAAGTAGAAGCAGTGATTAGAATCTTGAGGAGTTCATTTGAAATGGAAATTGAAATTGGACTATGGATAGAATCAGATGCTTGTCTGATTGCTTTCTCAAATTCTGAAACTCTCAAGTTTCTAGTATGTTTTATAGCAGTTTTTGTAGGGATACATTTTTGTGACAGTACCTTAGCTTGCTGGTAAAATTGTATGCTCTCATTGTTCAGTTTTAGTAGTTAATTTTTGGTATTATATGATTCAACCAAGTGCTCATTGTTACTTATTATTTTCTTTTTATCCCTTTTTATTCATGTTATGTTTTTGGAAAAACGTCACCTTTAATAAATGATTTTTATTATTTATAAAAATATATAAAATGGTAAATGCCTATTAATTTAAATATGACTCTTCTATAAAAATTATTTACGTGTGTATTTATGAGTATCCATTCTGAATCTTATCATATATTATAGAATCAACATTTTTTTAGCATATGTATAGACAGGTGTGCAGAGTTTTAGCCGTCAGATTTGTTTTATGCTTCCATAATTCTGAATGCGAGTAGTATCATTCATTTTATAATTAAATTCTGCATTTTAGTAACTTTATTCTACCTACAAATTTTTCATGGTAAAATATTTTAAATTTTGTTCTAGATCTTATGGTATTTATATTTCTCTCCTTTAATTTTATCTTTTTCCGTATATATAATGATATAATTATTAAATATTGTTCAATGGTTATAATTTCAATTATGGCACTTGAGTATAAGTTTGTTATTTCACTCATTTTTATTTATAATATGTAGCAATTCAATTATTTTACAAATTGAACAGTTTTTAATGGATGATAAGTTTGTAATGGGTAATTAATATTTTTTTCTCGTTCATCAAAATGACAATTACATTTTTTTTTTAATTTATCAATTTGTGAGTTTGACAAATAATGTATTCAGTGGAGACTTATTTTGTTTTATGGAAAATTTATAGTGTTACATGTATATTATATTAAGTTTTACGAATTAATTAATTAGTAAATTTGTTTTAGATAAATATTTGAATTACAAAGTTGTTACGGGTTTAACAGATTTTACACATGAATTATTTGTTATATTAACATAAATATTTCCACTTATATTACAAAAGTCTGAAGAGGTATATAGATATAGCTTAAATGAAAAGATAACTTTTAATTAGGTTAGTTTATTACTAAGTAAATTTATTTTAATCTACATCATACAAATGTAGATTCCATATATAGTTGGGCAGGAATATTATAGACAATAATAGCAACAATGGATTGTTATATTATATAGATATAGATTACCACAAGAAATCCCACTGATATAAATTCATGTGTGGGCTGTCTCGATTGTTGAAAAGCATGAAACTAGGTATTGCTGATGTTGCTGACGTATTTGATGTTACAGTAACACTTGTGTTCTGATCAGCTTCTTCTTCCAAGCCTTGTCTCTAGTTGCATTTTCTTTTGCTTCTCTCCCACCCTTCAAAAGGAGGCAATTAGAGGTCACATGCCCTGGTAGTTTAAACTGTAAGCATTATCCTTTCCAAGCTAGGACACAGATATTTCCCATTTTGGTTATTCTTGATTTTTCGGAACAGCGCCTTATTATTTTGAACACCTACGCGAGCATTCACATCAGTCTTCAGTTTCTTTTTTAGGCTTAAAAGCTTATTCTGTTTTGTTTCTCCCCATTTTTCTCTTAGATTCAACGGATTGTTACTCATGTTTATCATTAGCAAGGCCTTACCTCATGAGCCCCTTTTCACTAGTTTTAAGTTTCTATGATGAGCTGAAAAGTTGTGTATGTGACATGGTCGTCTAGCAGCATAAACCATTCTTCTAGCAAAGCTGGAACACATCTTGGTTTCCTATTTTATTACTTTATTATATGTTGTCTACTTTGAGTCTTGAGATATGCTAGCATTTAAGCATTGCTTTTGAAATTAGCCTAGGGCAGGTGTTTTTTTGTTTTCTTCTTTTTTGGTTTCATTTGTTAGATTACTTTGGAGTATTTTTGTAATTTGTACTTTGCAGCTTATCAAACTGATAAGATTGCTAGTATAGCCGCATACATGGTTTTGTGTGACTATTGCAATTCTATCTGGTGCAAATATTTTTCTTGTTACAAAGTTTATTTACTGTCAATCAAATCAAGAATTTGGAGATAGTACTTAATATAAATTTGGATGTTAAAAAATCTGACAATGCTTTATGATGCATCCACGGTAGAATGAACACTTTATATCAATCTTGTTTTGCTCTCAATGTAGGATGAAGCTGAACTAATTGACAAAAATGACGAACAGCAGTTTTTGGCCTGTGCTGATTACCTTTCTAATTATGGTCTGCTAGCCCTAATATCTAATGCTGAGGCAGCATCATTGGAAATCCTCAAGAGGTATGGATTTGGATGAGATTAATTTCTATCTTGTAAAGTTTTTAATATTTATCTGTATCTGAATATTATTTGGCGTCAGCTTGGCAGCAAAAAGTTAATTGGCTTTTTTTCTGTTGCAAATTAATTAAAAAAGTGTTGCCAGATAACCAGCAAAAAGGTGCTCGGTATAATTAAATGTTGATTCCCAAATATGAGCGGAAATTTCTTACCCCT